AAAGAACGTATAATATACACCTAAATATATATAATGAGAAATATACTTAAATGAAATAAAGTTTTTGCAAAAAAAGATATATTTTTTAACTGTATTTTAATCTGCCCTATATTTTTATTTATATTCTATATATATATTTTTTTTTTAAGGAATCGTTTCCTATCTACTTGTACGTATTATTCCGACATCCTATAAATTGTGATTTAAGTTCTTGAAAACAATACGATGACGTAAAAATTAATTTACTTAATTCAGATAGTAAAATCATAGAATGGCGAAAACAAAGTGAGACATATTACAAGAATAATATAATACAATACGGGACCAACAAAATTTGAAATCTATGAGAAAAGAATAAATAGCCGATATATATGAACAAAATCATTAATTGTTATATTGCAAATATGTTGCATGAAATTTACTACATTTCTTTATTTTTGTTAAGAAAGTAATACAAACGTATTGTTTGATTTCTCTCTAATATTTTATTATTCGTTCAAACCTTATATTGCAAACTTGATTTGTGAAAAAATTGTTTTTATTAATCAAACAAATGAGATTTTTATAATATTTGTATACTCAATTTTGTAAGTAACTGCATATTCAAATCAATGCAAAGGATGTGCTAATCACGACAATATAATGATTTCATGGAAAGAACGAAAAAGACGATTTTCGCTTGGATTTTATTTAAAAAATTGGATAAATAGATATATACTGTATATTTTCTTAAGAAAGTTTCGAAATCATTTACTACTTTCTATTAGATCATTCTAAAAATATTCGCAGTTCCGAGTCGTTCACTTTAAATAACATTTGAAATTAAATATTTCTCAAATAATTTTCATGATGATCGATACACATTTTTGACAATACATTAATATTGAAAAAAAAAATATTAATTTCCAAAAAACATCAACTGATCGTTCTTTTTGACAAAAGCTACAAGTAACTGCGAATATAATATTTGTAATATATAGTATATCCAATTACATCGTAATGAATGAGTTGAGTAAAGAGTGTTTCACGTAACTTGGACACCTGAAATAACTTTTAAATTATGCGTCTAGTGGGAAATTGTTTAATACAAGAGTTGTATGGTTTTAAGGGAAACAAAATGTGGCCTAACAATTTTTTATGGGTTTCGAAATTTTCAAGGTTATCTTTATTTTTTATAATTGAACCATATATTTTTTTCATCATAAATCGAAAAAATATTACATTCTAAGTAAAAAAGTATTAAGCCACATCGGTCCTAAACCTAATGGTTGAGGAAATATTTTAATTTGTCTGGAGAATGAAAACCGCATAGAGCACATTAATTGCAATACGTGCAGCTACATACACATTAATATTGCATTAATATTCCATGGACGTTGATGATCAACTTCTCTCATCAAATGGGGATTATTTAGTGCACAATAAAGCAAATTCCGTAAATCGACATTACCCTGATTCGTAAATG